GCTGTGCACCCGCCTGCCCGGCCCCGCGGCTCCACCGCCCTGCTGTGCGCCCCCTTCCCGGCCCTGCGTTCCCTTCACCCCACCACCAACCCCAACCCAGCCTCCCCTCTGCCTGGAGATCCTGTTCGAGTTCTGGGACAAGAGGGACATCTCGCTGCCGGTGGGTGGGAGGAAAGGGGGACCCCTAAAATGCCAGCACCCCCCCGCAACTCCTCCCCCAGAGCTGGGTGAGAGCCCAGGAGCGCTGCCTGCTTGCGGGGGGCCTGGTTCCTGGCAGACTGGGTCAGGGATGGTGCTGACTGGCCTGGCTGTGTGGGCCCTGTCCAGGAGCAGCCTGCAGATTATCAGCCCTGTGCGGTGCCAGCCACCCAGCCCCCTCTGCCCCCTCCCACCCCCTGGGCTGGGTGACCTCCCCCCACCTCGCTCCCAGGCTGCTGGCGCCTGGCGGGGGCGGATAATTCATGTAAATTTGCTGACGCTGCTGGGGGGGTGGCGGGGGATTCCCTGCGGGGAGGCGGGGATGACCTGGGCTGCATGCCACCTCCTCCCCGCGGGCCAGACTGCCTCCCCAGCTGGGTTTCCCCCTGACCCCTTCCTCCATCACGTGTCCCCGCCAGGTCCCCCATCACCGGGCCAACAGCAGCCACGTGCACACCCCCAAGAGCCAGCTGGACGACCCCTTCTTCATCGTGGAGACCATCTGCATCTGCTGGTTCTCCTTCGAGCTGGCGGTGCGGTTCCTGGCCAGCCCCAGCAAGCCGGCCTTCTTCAAGGACATCATGAACATGATCGACTTCGTGGCGATCATCCCCTACTTCGTGGCGCTGGGCACGGAGTTCGCCCGGCAGCGGGGGGTGGGCCAGCCGGCCATGTCGCTGGCCATCCTCCGCGTCATCCGGCTGGTCAGGGTCTTCCGTATCTTCAAGCTCTCGCGCCACTCCAAGGGGCTGCAGATTCTGGGCCAGACGCTGAAGGCCAGCATGCGGGAGCTGGGCTTGCTCATCTTCTTCCTCTTCATCGGCGTCATCCTCTTCTCCAGCGCCGTCTACTTCGCCGAGGCCGACCACGCCGAGACCAACTTCACCAGCATCCCCGAGGCCTTCTGGTGGGCTGTGGTCACCATGACCACGGTGGGCTATGGGGACATGTCCCCCGTGACGGTGGGCGGGAAGATTGTGGGCTCGCTGTGTGCCATCGCCGGGGTCCTCACCATCTCCCTCCCGGTGCCCGTCATCGTCTCCAACTTCTCCTACTTCTACCACCGGGAGACGGAAGGCGAGGAGCAGGGCCAGTACACCCACGTGGCCGGCTGCCCTGGCCGCCTGCCCTCCCCGTTGCTGACCGCCCGCCAGGAGAAGGCCTGCGGGAAGGAGGAGACATACTGTGGAGATGGGGCCCTGGCGCTGCCCAGCTCCCGGCTCCTGGACGGGATGGTGGCCTCGGCCAGCAGCCAGCCGGTCCTGCTGGAGACCCAGCAACCGAACCGGGGTTTGGTGACCCAGGTGTGACCCACCCAACTTCCAACCTGCTGCCCCCACCCCTCCTCGGCGCCTCTCTTGGGCGGTGGGAGATGAGATTGGGTGCTGGGTTTGGCCACTCTGTCTCTAACCAGAGTGGGGCGAGGGAATGGGGGGTGTCTCCTGGCACGGATACTGCCCCCCTCGCCTGGCCAGAAAGCTCCGGCTGCAGCCGGCCCGGTACCGAGGCCTCCCCCGCCCCCAGTCCCGTCTCCCGCTCCCTGACTGAGAGCAGCTGGCCCCCGGGGCACTTGCTGAGCTCACCTCAGCATGTTCTCAGGTTACATCTGCTGGAGAGCGCCCTGGAACATACCCCACGCCACCGAGCCCCAAATAGCAAGCGTGGGGATAAATAAGGGAAGGCGTCTTGCCAAGGTATCTGAGCGAGCTTTGCAGGGCAATACAATCTCAGCCGTTGGAGAGGTGGAGGGCCAGGGGCAGGGGCCGGGGAGACGGCCAGAGCCCCGGGGACACTGTGACTATGTTTCATGTGCTGGACTGGGGTTGTCTCCCACCCCAGTGTCCCACTTCGGGAGCCATCCTTCCCATCAGCTCCAGATCTCAACTAGGGACATGCCCAGCCCACCCGGCCTCTCCCATGCTGGCAGATTCAAAGCTGGGGCCGGGACGGTTGTTTCTGCCGAGTGTGTCTCCTTCCTGCCCCCACCAGGTGCAGGGCGGATCTCCCCTGGAGACGTTTGCCTGGTAAGCTGGGCTCAAAGGCGTCAGCCCTTCCACAAAACCGGCCAAGCAAAGAGAAGAAAACTTGGCTCACGGCTTCCATAAGGGCGAGCTCCACACTGCTGCCCCGGCTCAGTCTCGACTTAACTCAGTCAGTGGGTCACTCAGCTTGTCCCCAACCCAACGCAGTCCAGGACCCTCCAGTCCCACAACCCTACGCAACTCAATCCCCTCCCAACTCAACCCAGCCCGTTCCCAACCCAACCCAACGCAGTCCAGTCCCCCGCAACCCTACGCAACTCAATCCCCTCCCAACTCAACCCAGCCCGTTCCCAACCCAACCCAACGCAGTCCAGTCCCCCGCAACCCTACGCAACTCAATCCCCTCCCAACTCAACCCAGCCCGTTCCCAACCCAACCCAACGCAGTCCAGTCCCCTCCTAACCCAACACAACTCAGTTCTACTCAATCCCCCAACCCAACTCAGTCCCCTTCTGGTCCTTTTCCAACCCACTCCAAACCCCTTCCAATCAAATGTTTTCCCCCAAACCCTGCAAAGCTGACACCTCCCGCAGAGTGCAGTTGCATCCACCAGGAGTTCGGGAGCCACCCAGGTGTCCCCGGCTTGCCGTACCCCCAGAATCAGATACCTCCAGCTTGTCCCAAGCTAATGGGTAACCTGAGGCGGGGAAAGAGAAGCTCAGGGGAGTCCCAAGTCTTAAACATTGGTGTTTGCCACACACAGAAACGCCCAGCGAGCTGGAGGGCAGCATAGAGTAGGAGAAGAGGGACATGGGATGGAGAGGGAGAAATCTCCGTCCCCCCCTTCCCCATTGTCCTCCTGGCTACAGGCCACCTCCCTCATTCGTTGTCTTAATTTTCGTTTCAATGGTCTTAAATGCTGGGTCGGAGAGGAGAGTGGCACCAGGAACAGGCATGAATGTAAATGTGAGGAGAAAGGCCTGTCGGGGGTGTGTGTGCGAGGGGCAGGTGGGGCCTACAGCACAATTACGGTGCAAGCGTGCAGGAACAACAGTGCATGTGGGCCCATGAGTAGTTACTGCTCTAACCATTGTATGACCACGCAGTCCCCCGTGGTGTCACGGCTGGTGTATTGTCCGGGCGAGCAGCACATCTGTTGGGCCACCCCGAAAGCAACGTGGACCACACAACCCAGACCCGCAATGCACCCAGGGGCAGCCACGGGTCTCTCGCATGGTGCCCCCTTCCTGGAGGGACCCAGGGCCACCCCACCAGGGCCTCGCTCCGAGCGGCTACTCCGGAGGGACCCCAGCCAGCGCTTCCTGCCCAGCCCCGAACGTCCCGGGAACTGCTGTCCCGCCAGGACAGTTAAAGCAGACGCTGGACTCTGGACTGCAGGATGCAAGGTCCCAGGCGCTGGGTCTCCGCTTCCCAGGCGCTTTGCAAAGAACGGCCGCTTCTTAAAAGGGGCTCCAGCCGCAGGGGCCTGCAGCCCGGCCGATCCGGGTCTTCTCCAGACGCGGGGGCTTTGCACAGAAAGGTCTCCCCCCGACGCCCGCAGTGCCTGCAGGACTTCGTACGTCGGCCCCTGAGCTTTGCGCTTTATTTATTTTTAATTGCAGATTATTTCTCGGAAGAGAGTTGTGGCCGAGATCAGGGCGCTGAGGTGCCATGCGCTGCCAGACCCCGACCAAAATCAGGGCCCCATCGCGCCAGGCGCTGCACAGACTCCAACCAAGATCAGGGCCCTGTCGCGCCAGGTGCTGCACAGACCCTGACCAAGATCAGGGCCCTGTCGTGCCGGGCGCTGCACGGACCCCGGCCGAGATCAGGGCCCTGTTGTGCCGGGCGCTGCCCAGACCAACCACAAGAAACAGCTACCGCCCTGAAGACCTCACGGTCTGAGCGGACTAAGGAGAAGGCTCATCCTCCCCACTTTACCGATGGGGAAACCGAGGCATAGAACGGTGCAGTGACTTCCCGACTCCATGGGGACTCATGCTTGGCCCTGAAGAGTTGGGGGGCAGGGATGGGGAGAGGGGCCGGATGCAGAGTTTGTACCTCTCCTCTGCGAGGCTCTGGATCTCACAGGGCCGGATTCTCCCCTCTGGACTTCAAGAGACTTCCTCCCGCGCGCCCCCCTTCCCCTGGACCCTCCCCCTCTACCCCCCGACTCTCCTGTCTCTCGGTGTGAAGACACTGGCCTGCCCTGATCGCCAATAAACCCGCCCGCCCCGTTATTTATTGCAAAGGAGGGATGGGAGCGTCTGCTGTCTCACTGCCTGCCCCCCGCCCGCCCCATGGCCTGAACGGAAACCGGGGGTGGGATCCAGCCACACTCCCGCGGCCTGCCCCGGCCGGGATAGGGGTGGAAATCAGGAGTAACCCCATGGCACCGCTCCATGTCCCCCAGCCTCCATTTCCGCGGCTGGCGTAACCCGGGAGGGACGCCCCCCACGCAGCCCCAGAGCTGCCCCCTGCCGCCCCCCGGCTGGGGTAAATCGGCCAAGCCAGGGCAAAGGGACCTGAGGAGTTCAAGCAACGATTGCAGCCCGGCCTGGTGCCCGGGCAGGGAGGGGCGCAGAGGGCATCCAGGGTGACCAATTCCTCCCTTGCTCTTTGCTGGGGGGTGGGGTCCGTCCGTCTGTCCTGCTGAGGTGGCAGGGTTTAAATTTAGGCTAGCAAAATAGTAGGGATGCCAGAGGCCGGAGGGAGGGGGGTATTTAAAGGTACAGCACCGTGGCCTGGCCGGGGGGGGGGACAGTGGGTCGCCCCATGGGGCAGACGCAGGGGCCAGTTTGTGCCCCTGCCCGGAGTGGGGGGTGGGCGGCATTAAGAGGGGGGGCAGGGAGGGGGCGGTGGAGGGAGTGGCCAGAGGCAGGGACAGACGGAGGGACAGGGAGGGTGGTGGGTCAAGCGATGGGGGGAAGGGCAGAAGGGCGTGAGCCCCCGCCAGACTGGCCATGGCAGATCTGGGCCGCGCGAGCCCCCACCCGGCTGGGCCCCTCCCATCCCAACCCACCAGCCTCGGTGCCCCATGGACACATCAGCCGAGATCTGCCCCCCAAACACTGCCCCCAAGGGTGTGAGGCCCTGGAGAGATAGATAGATAAATGGGGTGGATAGATACATGGGGATAGATAGATAGATAGATAGATAGATAGATAGGGTGGGGGGATGGGTAGATGGGGTGTGGGGAGCAGGGGGATATGGGGGTAACTGGATGCGGGGTGGGGGAGCAGGGGGATATCTGGATGGGGTGTGGGGAGCAGGGGGGATTATGGGGGTAACTGGATGGGGCGTATGGGGATCACTAGGTAACGGGTGTTGATTGCTCCAGTTCCCATCGGGGGTAATTTACTGCTGTGCCCGTTTCCCTGTGGTGCCCTCCCCCCCCCAACCACTAGACCCCCCTCCCCAAACCGGGGAGAGAACCCAGGAGTCCTGGCTCCCAGGTCCCCGCAGCTGCCACTCCCCCTACCCCCCATTCCTGCGTCTGGTGCTTTTACGGGCCAGATTGGGATTTCCGGCCATAAAGACCCAACATTCGCTCCCCCCGCCCTGGTCTGTTCGGCTGGGGGTCATTACCTGGGGGGAGGGTGTAACCAGCGGGGCGGGGGGGGGGGAAGGAAGCCAGGAGCCCAGAACCCCGGCATCCCAGCAGTGTTCAGTCAGGGGGCCCAGTGCTGTGAGCTTCCCCACATCAGTGCCCCCTGGCGCCGTGAGCTCACCCACCCTTCCCTCCTCCAGCCCCACACCAGGGGATGGCAGCGGTGAAAGCCGCGACCCACAGCAGGTGGGGCCCGTCACTGCTCCCCTGGATAAGTGGATCCGGGTGGGGGCCTGGGGGTTACTCAAATCAAGATCAGCAATGGAACCCAGGAGTCCTGGCTCCCAGCCCCCCTCCCCCACTGTAACCCACGACTCCCCTCCCCCAGTCCCTTGTTGGGGGGGACGTGGCTGTGGGGCTGGCGGGGGAGGGGGAGGGAGCCCCTGAGACAATGAGCAGGTTTGGAAGCCAGTGGTTTCTCGCAGCATCTGCAGAACATCTGGGCGGCCCCTGAGGTGAGCGGGCCGGGGGAAGCACATCTGGCTGGGAGGTTCCTCAGCCGGCTGGGATCAGAACCGTGTGTCTGAGACCCTGCGCCGCTCCAGCCGCAGGGGATTCCCTGTCACAGCCCCCTGCTGACCCCCGCCCCGCTCCCCGCAGCCCAGCGCCCCCTGCTGACCCCCGCCCCGCTCCCCGCAGCCCAGAGCCCCCTGCTGACCCCCGTCCCTCCCCACTCCCTGCTGCCCGGCGCCCCCCTACTGGCCCCCACCTCTCCCCC